TTTATTCAATGTTAATGTCAAGCAAATTTAAGGCATAATTAAATAGAATTTAAGATCTATTTGGGAAAATCTGTACGTATTTAAGATTTCTTCTTCTAAATCTTTAACTTTTGAAGATCCAGCGGTATTTAACAGTTGAAGGTAATTTTTTATTAGAAGTCCAGTGACTAATAAAACACTGATCCAGTTAGTTTTGCATAACAATGTTGTGTCTGCATTCAGAGACTCACCACTGAACTGTTTGCATCTGGCAGGAACTGTCCAAATTCTGAAAGCAGGTCCTCTTGGTTCTTAAAAAGTCTGGCCACTTGAGTGTAAACCTCCTGTTCAGTCAGAGCAGGTGTGTAATTCCCCCCTGCCTCTTTAGCATTACGCTGTTCTTTCTAAAACATTTAGAATTCAAAGAAAGCAGGAGTGAGTTGAACTTTCTTTTGAAGTTCTAGAGATATTAAAATTTCATATTCTTCACCTGGTAAGTGTGCAGAATTTCTAGGAAGGCCTTATAGATATCCGGCTGGCCCTGAAAGCGGTTCTTGATCTTGTTGACGTAATTTATGGCGTGGTTAAACTCCACAGGTTGGTTGTTCTGGAGAGGTGGCCCGCTGGATGGGGTGCTGCTGACGGGAGTGTGGGGCTGAACTGAAGGAGAACGTGGTGAGGCGTATGACGGGATGGATGGATTCGGCTGGCTGGTGGGTGTGTGGGCCGGAGACTGAATAAGCTGCTGAGAGAAACAACAACGCAAAAATATGTTATGCTACTAAACCACCACAAACTACTACAATCAACAGATAGGTGAAAAAGTATTCCACCTTGCTGGCTTTGTTTAAAGCAGGTTGAGTGGTGATAGTTGGGGTAGGGTTGGTGAGCAGGCTGGTCTGTGGGAGACTCTGGTGCTGTTGGAGGCTGGTTGGTTGGCTAGATCCTCCATTTGCTGGGATGTTTTGTACCGATATTCCTTGAGGAGTTATGTAGTGTATCTGACCAGGTGTGGTTACGTTCACCAGATCGTTGGTTTGAACCTCGATCTTATAACCAGGCGGCAGGAAAGTGTTGAAACCCATGATGAGGTCTGGGTGCCCCTTAAAGAGCTGCGACACACGGTTAATGACTCCAGGAGTGTCGATGCTGCAGAAACAGAATCATTGACACAGTATTATCACCTAAAGTACTTTTAACGAAACTCAAAAACATCAGTTCTGAATGTGAATTTGAAACACAGAAGTATTATTGTTTGTTTTTTTTGTTCAGAATCAACCCATGAAAACAAAGCTGACCTCTGGGACTTAAACTCTTTCATTATGTCGAGAAAGTCATTATAAACTTGAGGTTGATTCCCAAATTGCAGTTTCACTTGATCCAGATAAGACAGGGCATCTTCAACCTACAAAGCAAAAAGTTGAAATATATTAGCATATTCCCTGTTCTGTTTGTTGTGGAAATACATTATCAAACAAAGTTTTTTTTTTTTTTGACATCTTAAGCCAAAAGCATTTGGTTTTTCAAACCTTTAACCGCTGAAATTGCTGTTGCTGCTGCTGTCCTTGCACTGAAGCTATGGGTGTGGGGGGATGAACATGACCCGGGACCACTGCAGGTCCCGGCGACTGCACAGCCAGGCTATGTGTATGAGGGCCAATAAGTGGTGTAGCATTGTTGTGCCCGTGCCCACTTGTGCTTTGAGGCATAGTAGGCACCTTTAAGGTAGAAATAGAACAGAACCAAGTAAATACTTGTTGCATAAAAAGCAAGTTTCTAAGTGTCACTGACTTTTAAAAAAATATGTTACAATGTAAATATTTGCCTCATATCATACCTGGTAGGCCTGGGGCAGAGAGTACTGTATACCAGTTGAGGGCTGCATGGTGTCTGCAGCAGCCTCAACAACAGGTGGGGCCGGGACAAGAGCCCGTTGAAAGCCTTCTCCAATAGCTTGAACTGGGGGACGGCGTGGTTGCTGCTGCACAAAAATCGGTTCTGGGTCTTCTGCACGTCTCTTCATGGTATACACATACTCAGACTAGAGCATACTTTACTCGAGCTGAAAGGAAAAAACACAAGAATACTTCTTAAACTTTCTCACCTACTTTCTAAATGTAGTCATTAGGGCAGTGCAGGATTTAAAACTGTGAAACAAATCTCCAAACGCCCACTGACACACCTCAGTAAACAGTGAACAGCGCAACTGTCCGTGTTGCTGGATTTTTAGCCTATTATTTGCGACATAGTGAGCAATATTTTTCAGCCGGCAATGATTCATAAGATAGGTGTCATTCATAGCAAGGTCTGCACAATACACAAAATTGCAATCTCCATTTCAATAACAAGTCTAGATTATGTACAGTATTGCATCCTAAGTACTGAGAAAGCACAATCTATATGCATATGATGTATTTGTTTATTTAAGGATCCAATTCGTCTGCATCATAGTAGAGAATATTCTTCCTGGGTCAACACCAAACATTACAATTAAATTACAATTTAGAGACATTACAAAACAGCCATTGTGTTATTTTCTAAGACAAACAAAATTAAATTAACGTCTTACAAACATTACAAAAAGACATAAAATACATTACCATGCAAACAATTTCAGCAATATCAAAACTAATTTAAAAATATGTAAGATTATGTATATCCCACCAATTGTATGGAATTTCAGTGCACTTTATAGAAAAGCAAATTAAACTTTCTACAACTAAAAAACTGCCAAATGGTTTGGAAATCATGACAGTGAATGAAAAGTGAAGCAGTATCGTCATCACATTCTTAAACATTCACAGAATTTCAACTGCATTTATTTTACCCTACATGGATAAACTTGGTAAAATGTACAATGTTAATTTCTTTTAAAGTTTTTTCAGATGTGACTTTGTTTCAGTATTTTGTTGCTTCTAATTTATAATTTCTCATAATTGCTGTTTAGTTTAATATTTATTGGAGATTAATTTATTAATTAGGAGGCTGCACATTAATTCCCATCCCTTTACATGGGAATTAGACATGTTTTATTTTCTGCCCTTTTCAGTAGCACCAAATACTGGTCAAGGTATTTTATTTTACATTGGTCATTTAAGCCTTCCTTCGCGCCTTAAATATATCTTACGTTTCTTTCTTTCTTTTTTTTATTTTTATTTTTTACAAAATAGCACAGCTATACATAGAAAGTAATTTCTTGACGGTCCCTAAGTAAACGTCATCCGATTTAGCCAGAGGAGGGTAGTCTTTGTGCCTCATTGCCCTACACCACCGTCGGGAAGAACACGGTGTTAGAGCGTAAACGTTTCAGTCGCAGATAGTGTGTCTTTGTCACATCTAGCTTCGGTTTTTCTTCTTCGAAACGAGAAGCAAACACGCCAGACGGCGAAAGGCTGCGATATCAGTACAGCAGCGCATCAAAAAAAACGAACATTTATCCGATTTATGCCTCCATTTTTGCTGGCACTGTCGCTCGCTGCAGCGCTCTCGTCTCCCCTCCCCCTCCGTGCTAAACACCGAGCTATCCGTTTTCGGCTAGATGACCGCTTTCGCTGGTCTGATGGCTGACGTTGACTTTCGTCCGTTTCAGTTTATGTGGCAAGCAAGTTATGGCGGTGTCTATAAGTTGACAGCGAGACAGAACCAGAAAGTAGTAACTTGTCACTATCGGGTTATTCCTGAAAGAGCACTTTATTCAAACATCTGATGAGCTTAACTGACATTACCCTCTGTGCTGGATAGAAGACATGTAAGAAAACTTACTTACAGTCGTGCAGTAATCGATCGTTTCAATAGTCACTTTTCGTAAACAGTACGCCACGGTGCCTGAATTAAGTTATATTGATAGTCATTCATTTCGCTAATCTTAAGTATCGTTAGCTCTCGAAGACCGCTAGCAAGCTAGCGAAGGCTAATGCTTGCGCTTTCAAACGTCGCATACACGTTCAAGTAAGCGTTAAGTTTGCTGATAAAGTTTCCAAAAATAGAGCCTTTTTCAGAAACAATAGTCTCTTAACAAAACCCACTTAAACATTGAACTGGAAAAGGCAAAAACCAACTAACAGTAAAATACATCAGGTTAGCCTGCTTAACGCTAGCCCATCGGCTAATTCACGTTGCTAGCCTCATTGGCGACTAGCTTCAGTAAGTTCTCGGCGCTGCAGCCTAACGTTACCTTTGCTAAAGTCCTCAGTTTTAAGATGGAATAAAACAGAGCGACACGATTCTATCACAGCGGAAAAGCGACTGGTGCCTGGTTCTTTTTTACGTCTTTTCGGCAAGGTTATGTTGCTGCTGGCTACCTTAGCACAACAACCAAACCCCATTACCTCGGCTAACATAAATTAACTTACCTAGATCGGCTGCCAACAACTACAACTTTGCACTCCGATGTATAGGATCCCCGACTGGAAAACTGCTACTCCAGCATTTATCAGGCGGTGATGAAAAAAGAAGGAAAGTTTTGAGAAGCGTTGGCAAACGTAAATGTGAGAAATGTAACTGACTGTAGTGGCTACGTCGCTAACAACAGTGTATGTATGAAGCGCTGTTCCTTGAACATAGGGGCGTGGTCTGCTGTGAAGGCGGCAAAGTCTCCGCCCACATCGACCTGAGATTGGTCAGAATTCCAGAATGAAAACAAATACTGTAACGCTAGTGAGCAACAATCTCGCTAAAGGCATCAAAATAAGGGCTATGAGCGCGTAAAGTGCTAGGATAGCTGTCATAGATTTTCATGCTGACAGGGACGGTTCAGTTCCCCATGTGCATGTGGCCGTAAAGGTGCAAGACATTCCACTCATTCTTCACACTTATAATACTTAGAAATACTGCATGAGTTGATGTGAAAATTATTTAGCAGCATAATTTCAGTAAAACTTGAATTAGAACGGCCTAGCAAAAGTCAAGACTTAAATCCAATTGCAATATGACACAACGATAAGATTAACAATAGTTATTGCAAACTGTTTTTTTCATTTTAGTAAGGTTATGTTTGTCCACAAAGTACCCAGAAAAATATCGAGTGCACTGCAGACTTTACTTGCTTTTATTGAGGTCAATAATCTGAAACATTTTTGACGAAAAGTGTGACAAAACAAAATCAATCTGTAAAAGGACACTTTTTCACCACACTGTATAAAATAATGAAAATAATGCATTACAAAATATGTCAAATTATGATTCCTTCATTTTAAGTTGTGTATTAAACACAACTTAAAATGAAGGAATCATAATTTGACAAATGCATTTGCCTAAATAACAGTGCATTCAATTTTGCATTCATTGTAGTGTTTTACTTTTCATTCATGCTAAAACAGTTTTGTAACAAAAGTCAACATTAATGTATTTCAATGTCTGTGGAAGTATTTATTTTCAACAACATATAGCAATGCCATGTAAATAATTTGTAATATAAGAAAAATATATTTTTCAAGGAAAGTAAGTATATATGCATATTTTCAGTATAATTGTAAGACAAAAACTGGAAAGCAAAGTCTAAAACATAATGATCACATTTGTACAATATGTTGGGGGAAAAAATATCACAGGAGAGACGAAGAACAAAATGTTTTTATCTGCTCAACTGAAAACAGTTTATTTGGCTTTAGGTAATTATTTGGCTTTCTTAACATTGCCAGTGTTATACTGAAATTTATCTGATGAACAATGTGTGTCTATCAGATAAGTTTGGTCTGCTCTGAAGGCGGCGGATCAAACTTATCTGGTCTGCCGCCTTGTGAAGTAAATAAAATAATAAAAAAAGCATTTTACCTTTCACTTTAAATATAGAGATAGGGAAAGATGAATAACTAGTGTAGCTATGCCTCTGTTGTCATGTTAATCTGGAGCAGTTTATTTTTATACTCCAAAGTTCCATAACAAAAACATGCTGTGCTTCGTTATCTGTCAGGTCTTTGTCCAGTAGCTTTTTTATTGAAGGATGGTAATTTGGAGAAACATGGCGATAGTCATTAGGATCACACCAGTTATCCTGGATGTGGCCACTTCTGGAGCTACACATGGAAAAATAACAAGAGTTGGATACAGCGTTAGATTTGTCATATAAATCTAAATGGTAACTAAACACAATACTATCCATACCCCTGGTTGAATTTGCTTTGAAATTATTCTGACTCAGTCGCTTGAAAATATTGTTTCTGATAGGAAACAAGACAGGTGTCTCTCAAACAGTAATTAAAAAATTGTTTTTCCCCTCCAGATTATTGTATAACAAAAATGTTCATATCTGGCTAAAAAGTATGAACAAGATCACTGCTCAATGAGACAGAGTGGGGCTAAAGACCACAACACAAGGATCTTTAGTGTAGTTTTGGACTGTGACCTAAATTTTGTCAGCCACATGGAGTCTGTCACTAAATCAGCTCACTATCATCTTAAAAACATTGCCAGAATATAGAATTTACTGTTAAAACACAATACAGGAAAACAAATGGAACTGATGAAATGAGAATAAATTGTTTATTCCTTTAAACAACAAAAAACATTATTACTGCAGGTTCTATTAAGTCTGACAACTGTTTGAAATATTTGTTTTGGTAATTTAACAATCAGATCTCAGTTTAGAAGGTCATCACCTTAATCTTTAGCTCCCGCCACAGATTGTCTATCTAATTTAAGTTGGAACTTAGGCTGTATCAATCAAGAAAAATAATTTTACTTCCAATCAGAAGAAATGTTAGTGAAATAAAAAATTATAATTTAAAACAGTGTCTGCCAGGGGTATGAATGTATTTTGGTAGAACAACTGAAAAACTGTTGTTTTTTTAAACAGCAATGTTAGAAAAATGCAATAGCTTCCAATTTTTTGTAGTAATTTGTAAGTGTGAGACACTAATATGACAAATATTCCATAATTTGTCTAGTATTAATCAACTGAATACTAGACAATAAGAGAAGCTGATCTCTTACCTTGAGATGCAGTATTTGTATTTGTACTGGTTACATTTGGAATTTGAGAAGCTGGCGAAGTACTTCCTGGTGTAGTAGCTGGTTGGGCGACGGTTGGCCCAGGAGTATTATTTGTAGGAGGATTTGTTGCAGTGGTATTTCTGTTCATAAAGTCAGCCACCATGAGACTCACAGGCCCTGAGCGGATGGAGTATGTGCTAGTGAACACACTGTTAACCAGCATGCTAGAACTGCTTGAGTTGCTACACAGATCAGGGCATTTATCAGAGGGCATGGTGGCAATGCACAGGTTGATTTTGCATTCAAAATACATCTGGAAGCACAAAAAGCTGCAGTTATCAGTCAGATCAAATAGAAAAATAATTATTTTAGAACATAACACAGTAAAGGCAGACAAGAAAACTATATGTATAATATTTTTGATTAGATAAACACCAAGCATAGCCGAAATATGCAGTGCAAAGAAAAGAATGTATGGATTTTTGAATTTTAACAAAAGTATGCATTTATATTTAGTCCCTCTGAGTCAGTACTTTGTCAAACAAAATATGCCAGCTTTACATATCCAGAAATGTAAACCTTTTGCAAAGAAAAAAAAAGTTCTAGAGCTCAGTTTTTTCCAGATTTTTGCTGTAGCCGTCTTCTTATAGCTTCATTCTTTTACTCGTGTTTTCATTTTTTCCCATTAAAGTTCCACACATTAATAAAATATACTGATCAAACATTGTAGAGATTTTGCGTTTGTTCTTTTTAAGAGATTACAAGTTGTATCAACCTTCCAGACCTCTCAGGTCTTCTGGTTCTGTTGTGCTCTGCATCCCCAGAACCAGAACTAAAAGAGGAGAAGCAGCTTTCAGCATCTATGCACCAAAAATTTGGAACAAACTTCCAGAAAACTGTAAAACAGAGGAAACCCTGACTACCTTTAAATCTCAACTAAAAACACACCTGTTTAGAATTGTATTTGAAATGTAACAATGTTTTGTTTATTCTATGTTGCATGACTTTGTGTTTTTGTGTTTATGATGTAAAGCACTTTGAAATGCCTTGCTGCTGAAATGTGCTATACAAATAAAATTTGATTTGATTTGATTTTTGATTTCAGTTTGTAAAAAAAAAAAAAAAAATTAAAACCATTTGTCCTTTTTCCATTTATTTCCCAAATATCAACTGCTTCATGTATGTCTACAACATAAAACTTCAAATACAATTTATTGAAGTTCGTAAAGTCATTAACTGGACTCTAAAGCCACAGAAGTGTTCCAGTTTAATTCGAAGTGATGGACCAACCAGTATTTAATTCACATAAAATTTAAAAAAAAATTAAAGGCTTGAAATAGGCAGAAAAAAAGCATAAGATTTGACGTAAATGATGATTGGGATTCCAGACCTTTGTTCCAGTGACTGTCCTTGTGTTCATATCCAGACGGTAAATCTTGAAAGTTTTTTCTTCTGTAATAATCTCCAGTGTGTTGTTGGACATCATGCACCTGAAACAGAAATTGAAACCACAGGATCTGTTTTAATGTTTCCTTCTACTTAGGACATATCATTCAGTATCTGTCAAATTTCAGTTGGATGTAAATATTTAGGATAATTATAATAAGAAGAACAATGACAATAAAGGACACTGTACAAACTGAATAATGAAACATATTACCCTTTTTCCACAAGAGGATGGCTGTCTGCCATGTCCTCCTTCTCAGATTCCATACAGTCTGTTACTATCATCTCAGCTCGATCAACACTGCAGTTAGACATCACATACAGGTCCAACTGCTTGACCATTTCGTCATGTTGGAGACCAGTTTGAGTGCTGCTATTGGAGGTGCTGCTTTCTGAACCTGTCTCACGACGAAATCTTGAAGATGATAAGAAATTGGAACGAAACCTGGGAGAGGAGGTGAGTGGTGCCAGAGGCCCTTGTCCTGGAAGGTGAAACTCTAACCAGACTATAATCTCGCCAAACGTTTCCCTCTCTGTTGGCATGCTGATGGCATACTGAGGCCCTTTGACCTCCGCTCCTGGGATCCGGCAGGCCAGAGGGAGGATGAGCGAGGGCCGGCGGCTGATCATGGTGTGATGCACGCTTTTTAAGGTGTTGGTATAAACCAATTCTGTGCCAGAGTGCTGAAAACAAACAATATAGGATAGCATTTTATTGGTGCTGAAAATTCTGATATCTGAAGTGACGTGACAAAAAGTTTTCTCCATAATTTCAGTTAGTAAAAAAAATATGTACTGAGACTGTTAAAAGTTAAACATTCATTAAATCAGAGATACTTTTTCTTTCTCACAGACTAAACAATAAAAATGTGATCAGATTCTGCAGAAGTTTTCATTTAAAATCTATAACCATCACTCCAACCAAGAAACTCAGTAAGTGTTAACAGTCATGCCAATTTCTGCATTATAATATGCTCAATTTGAACTTATTAAAAAAAAAACCTTTCTGCTGGTATTACATATCTTTGTTGTTTCCAGATATTTTACTTTTCATAAGTTACAAATAGTCTGTTGTCTTTTAATGCACAAGCACATGCACATTTTGTCATTTATCTCTTGAATTTTACATATTTGAATATTACACTACAAACCCAAATGTATATTATGTCTGAAATCAATTTTTTAAGCCAAGTATTTCTTTTCTTCCTAACATGCATAATTAATCAAATCTATATAAAATGACCTTTTAATAAGGTTTCTGGTTGTTCAATAAAAAGATTTTGAGTGCTCATTGCCTTCTTTGAACCAATTTCAAAACCCTCACTAGTCTAACTTCAGGGAACCTGAATTGTAAAAAATATTTTTGTAAAATTTTATATATTGCAGGTTTTGAAACCCTACAAAATACTTATGTGTATGTGTATACACATAAGTATGTATGTACTTATATGTAGTATGCACATATAAGTACATAAATATACTTATTTGTAAATGTATTATTTTTTTAGCGTTTCAGGCTGTCTTTATGCCATCATCGGTCAGTCTAAGACTCTATAAGCATACTCTGCAAATGTGTAGATTTAAAGCAAAGATGTGCCTTGATGTCTGTTATTTGAAAAGGTTTTGAAAATATACAACAACAAGGAAAATATATATTTTACCACAGCCTTAGTCCCGCAGCCACCTAATGGTATGTGTGCAGTCAAGTGTGTGCTGTTGTGGGTGACAGGACAGGTGGGGCTGTTGAGCTGTAATTTGTCCAGGTCGACGTTGGTGAGGGAGGTGACAGGGAGCAGCAGAGACATCTCTGTCTGATTACACCTCAGCTCTACAAGGAAATAGCACCAGCAGATTATTCATTAGTTTAACATAGTCACAGACACAATCAACGTTCATCTCACACACACAACACTGGAATTTAACAAATTGTTTCAGCAACTTAACCAGTTCCATCAGGCAGGGTCCTCATTTCCCCTGAAACAAACAAAGATATTTTAGTAGTCTGTACAACTGAAACCATGCTGGAGAGGCTTCATAAACCTGATAATCATCATTATTCTTGTACAAGTCTTACTTTGGTACAGCCACACGCATCGCAGCTGGGACTGAAAACTGGAAAGACAAGAAGAACAGATCAGATGATTTTACAGTCTACAAATATTTTGGTCTATATTTAGCTAAATGTACCAATAGAGTAATAAAATTTCCATAACAATTGTACATAAGAAATATTTTTTAGAAAAAAGACAAAGGGAATTTAGCATAAAGGAGATGACATCAAGAAACAAAAATACTACAAATAAATACTAAACTTTTACAGCTTTGTTTTAACTTTGTAGAAAGTAAAATAATTGCCATCAACTTATCAAACCTGTAAATGGATAGCAAAATTTACAGAATCAAACACTGTTCAAGTTGTTAATAATTGAGGATTTCACATGTTAATTACAAACCTCTTGGTGTTTGCAACAAAGCAGACAGGCAACAGCTGGGTCAGGTTGTTTTCAGAGCGGATCCAGGCCATAGTTAGTTTTGCCAGGCTGCTGATGGATGCAAAGCCAACTCTGTACAGGTCAGGGGGGCCGACCACCGCTATCTCCAAAACACTGCAAGAGAGCAAAAACCACGTTCCTTGGGATTCTGGCAAAACTCTACCAGACCAGCTGTCTTTATTTTTAGAAGCTTTAAAGTGGCAACCACATGAGTTTCAGTTGGTGTTATTCACCCAATGCAGACATATAAAAGTTTTGTATTCAAAATATTAAAATGAAAAGTTCAACAGTATAAATAGTGGTTGTTATTTAAAGATAAACTCAATATCTATATCGACAAATGTAATTCAGCTGAGGCACAGTAAGTTCATGAGTATTATTTCTATTTCTTTGTTGTTTTGTTTGCAAAACAACAAAGAAAGCCATGTCAGGTCTTTTGATTCAACAAGTTTCTGAGAATCATGATGTGAGAGCTCTAAAGGTAAAATATGGGGAGTGTTTTAGTTTTAAACAAGATAAGGAAATACTTTATTTAAAAAGCTACAGATACATTGTGTATGAAGGACTATGCATTCATTAACATTTAGTGAAATTAATTAAACATTCAGGGCTGTTCATTTGTTGCTGTACAGTTGAGATTTTATACAATCATTCAAAAAAGATGGAACCAGTTTTAAATACATAAACAGTGGAAATTTTCAGGTTAAATAATGCTGCGGTTTCTACATAAAAAAAACCTAACAAGCTGCATCAGTGACAATAAAACATAAAAGTATATTTTCTTGCTGTTGGGTAAGCTCCTTAAGTAAACAACACTACAGCATAAACACTTTTACAGGAAGAAAATATTAAAGGCTTTTTGATGACACACCTCTCAAGGTCAGACTTGTAGTTAGCATTGAATTTCACCTCCTGAAACGGCAGGACGAACTGCACAGAGTCTCTCTCTGGGGTCCCATCAAGCACCAAGGGGCTATGACTGCAGTCTGAAGCCGACTCCTCCACTGAGGGGCAGCAGATATGTTTTAAAAAGCTTCAAATGTTGCTATCTCAGGATAAAATTAAGACAAACAATAACCTATTTAAAAAGAAAAATCTAAAAAATAAGCTGTCCTGGCAATATTTCTCTTTTTTAAATTTGATGACATTATTATCAGATGTTTTAACCAACTTTTTATCTAAGAAACTGATACAGACAAAGATATAGTCAGATTTTTGAAGTAGTGCTTCATTGTTCCTGCAAAATAATTCAATGAAAAAAAAGTTGCATACCTTAGAAATGTGATAAGATTAGCATCAGGCATTAACAAAATAAATTGTTTATTTAAAGATATACTGAAATAGATTTGTTGTTATTCCTGGAGTAAAAGATTAACCTTTGCATTATAGTTATTTTTGGAAATATTAGGTTTTTTTTCCTCAAACAGAATCACAGGTGACCACAAAATGTGGACATAAGAGGAAATGCATCTGAATGTATAAAGAATCAAGGAAACCATCCATTGTTGATTGCTGAGATCAATGTTCTGATTGAAGAAGCAAAGAAAGAAAGATGAGACATAACAGTAGAACAGAGAAGAAAATCACTGATCAATATATTTAATGTGCATTATTATTCTCAGAAATGTAGAAATGTAAATCTCTTTATTGTAGCACAGAAATGACTGCTGCAAAAATGAGCTGGACAAAAGTATAATGCTTATTATATTTTGTACGCAAAGATAATTTGTTTAATCATAAGAAATATTCAGTTGGAGCAAAACTCGAGATATGATTGGTGTTAAACACAGAGTAAAGAATTTACTTTAGTTGATTCAGGAATAATTAGTACTAATGTATCAAAAAAGAAAATGAACCATGCCAGTCACCTTCTAGTCAGGCATCAGGACAAAGTTAACTACCAATACATTTCTACTGAATGTGTAGTTATGAAAATACATCCTGAGAAGCACAAAACATAATTATGTCATCATTACTTCAAGAAGGCTAAGCAGAAATAAAAAAGTAGAACGAAAAGTAACCCCGCCCTTCCAGCTTTAGAAGAATTTAAAAAGCTGAAGGTGAACCTGCATGCCTATTAAAGAGAAAGATTTTTCTTTTGTGCCATTCTAGAACATTCAGTACACTGCTCTAACACTGTGCCAGGGTGGAAAGACATAATCATTGACTTTAAAACAGCATTTCTTTTGTCCATACAGAAAGAAATATAAAAGCATTTTTCTAACTACTCAGAATATTTTTATGATGTAGTATTCTATAATTCGTAGTTGCTAATCGGAGGATTGCTCAATACTGAGGATCACATATTGAGCAATCCTCAATAAGTGAAGTGTAATTGGAGTTGAACAAGGCTGTACTTTGTTTTTGATTTTTTTTTTATATAGCTACATGTGAGGAACAGACTCACCAGTAAGAGAGAGGTGCACAGGAACAGAGCTGAGTGGAGAATTGTTTAAAATCTGTCTCGTTGGAGGCGCGGGAATCAGGTCCTCTGCCATTAAGTAGATAAAGTATTGTCCTGCAGCTGCTTTTCCAGTGAATGTCAGAGTGCAGCTCGCCTGTTAAAAACAAGTTTCATCAAGCAGTTTTGTAGAGTATTGATGAACAAGACAAACTTTCTGTAGAAAGTCAGGTTAGAAGTTTACAACATAAAAATCCACAAACAGGTTACTTGAATTCTTTCAAAATCTCATAGATCTAAGATTTTTAGGCATCAACTGAAAGAACTAAATGTGCAATCAGAACCTTATTTTTTTGTTATGTGAAACCTTATTTTCACATGACAAAAATTTGCTTTGGCACGTAGCTGGTGCTTCATGATTTCTTAACGTGTTTCTTCCTAGAAATTTTTACACAACTCAGCTAAGCAGTGAGATGAAGAAATGAACACATAGACACATGTGGTGAGGACTTCTCAATTTAGTCTGCGAAAACAGTCATTTGGAGCTACTCAGTCGATAATCTGATTGGTTGGAAGGAAAAGATGAACATTTAGTAACAGGCAGGATATGCGACCTGCAACTTACCAGAATAATGGGGGAAACATAGTTATTTCAATCCTAAGTGTCCAAAACACACAACAGTTTCCACAATCCCAATATTTAGCTTGGAAGCATATGTCCACTTGATAAGTTAAGAGTTTGTAGAAGGGACAGTCAGCAACTGTTATAAATGTTTTCTTCAAGATGCTTTTTGTCATTAGCATGTAGTACAGTACTTCCCTTTCACTTTATGAGTACCATAATCATCTTTAGCTTCTCTAAGGTCAGTGTTGATGTCTTTCTGTCCTGGTATTGTTTGAAAACACAGATGTAGGCTCCACACCTGAAAACAGCTAATTGTGTCCCTTTAGTAATTTCACATTGAAGACCATGATCTAGTGTTGAACAATTTTAGAACTGGTGAGACCATATCCTACTTGAAAATATCACAAACATTTCTGTAGTTTAAGAAACCCAGAATATTCACCTCATCCAGTTCCAGAAAATTGTGTGGAATACACTCCCGGCACTCTCCACTGCTGGCACTCGCAAAGCGGCACCGGACTTTATCTCCATCCAGATCCTTTGTTGAGATATGGAAGTCAACGGGACAGTTCACCCTGGCCCTGATCCAACAGCACAGTCAAAATCAGTGTCAGCAACAAGTAATAATTCAGTCTCTGACCAGATCAATTGTTGAGAATGTACAGGCAGCAGAAAGATTAATTTAGATATAAATTCAGATTTTTAAAAAATTTAACAAAGCTATTTGGTAACATTTTTGCCAAACTTTGCTTTTAACTTCAAGATTCGAAACAGGTGCTTTCACCTTTAGTAGCAGAATTCCAATGTAGATGAAAAACTGAGAACTTTAAGGCTTTAATAAACCTTTGACGTGTGAGCTTTTCTGGACCCCTAAATTGTTTAATGTAGTTTACAATAAATTTTGGTCACTGTGAAGAAATTGATTTGTGTGTTACCTCAGTGGAGGAGGGAGAGCCACAAAAGGAGGCCTGTTGAGTTTTCCATTATTCGCCCGAATCTTTGGGTCTGCATTTATTGAGACGTAAAACTCTGTCTGGAATCTAAAGGAAATAATAAAAGAGCTTTAGAAAAAAATATTTTACTTTTTTACTTGACATTACTTGAACAGTTAAGTAAAAAGTCATCTGGAATTAAGGAAAACAGAGGAAGAAGTAGTCAGATAAATGACGCCAAGAAGAAATTAAACTGAGTGTATTTTGGATTTTGACTATTAACAAGTACATTTCAGTCATCACGTACTGAAGAAATGTATGCATTCAGAGTTAAATTATGCATGTATTTTCAGTATTATACATTTTGAAGAATATGTAAAACATTTTGGGAGCCTCAGTTTATGCATATTTACAATTTGGGAGTGAAAATAGAGATTTCATACCCTAATTTGAGAAAAGAATTGTAATTGCTCGGTACGGTTTTCTGCCACTGGCGGACACACCACGCTGGGCTGGGTTTGGTGTAGCTGAAAGGTAGGGCGGTGCGGTGGGCCTGACAGTCCTTTCCTGCTGCACAGACTGCTAACAAATCAGGACAAGGAGAGGGAGTAATGACAGTAAAATGAGCCCGAACCTGCAAGAGGAAAAGGGACAAAATTATAAATTGTAGTGCATAGTTCTTTCAGATTAACTTTTTTAATCGTCTTAAATTGAGAAGTACATTATTTTTACAGGAATACTTTTCTTTCTGGAAAGCAACTTAAAATGCAGCTTATATAAAAACAAAAGTACAGTATAAATTTCGGCATAAAACTTGAATTTTAGCATATGGACATAAATCATTAATATCAGTGCTCGGTTTTAGAGGTAGGTCCTGCTTAAAGACAGTCCCTATAAAAGTCCTTTTAGAAGAGAGGAATATTTTGCCTACCGTTTTCCCTCCATTTTCCTCGAGAGGCACAACATGCACTGTGAGGCCCAGGGACGAGGCTTCGTAGGCCGGACTCAACAGGAAGAGAATCAGCCAGTGGAGCAAGACACCCAGTTTAAGTCTGTGCAGCATGTCAGCTCCTCAGTAAGACATGGAGTCTAATGGACAGCAACAAACCATTTACTTTTCAACAACAAACGATGGATATCTTACAACTCGGGTATTACAAAAACATGAAGGCAGTGTTAGTATACCCAGGATAAAGAGTCCATCTAAAACAAACTGGTGTTTAATGTCTGTGAGAAGACAGAGTGAATTAGGCTTCAAGAAAATGAATGAGATAATGGGAACTGTTCTGATTAGGCTGAGAGCAATGACAAAGGCTCAGAGGAATGATCTCCACTGCTCTCACTAAGATCCAGAGTGTGATGTGTGCCACATCAAAGCTTACATGGTTTTTATGAATAATGTAGGACATGGTTAAAAAAAATATTAAAAGGGATATATGATGATTTATTTTAAACAAGTTGTAGGTTTAAATGTTATGAATGTAATATATAAAACATGTTAATAACATTTTTAAAGCATTCATTCATACATGTGAAAATGGTTGCAAACATATGTTCTGTTCTACAATCGTTCATCTTTGATTCTGAGTCAGAATCAGAAGAAACACTTGTCTTTTCCAGCAGTCATTGTACAGGTATCATATGGAATGGTAAAACCAGCAGACCAAACATGCTGGATACCGACTGGGTTGCTAGGTGAAATGCAGTAACACCAATTGTGGCATCAAGATGGGGAAATTTTATAAACTCCCCATTATTGCAAGGTGTTTTATTTATTTTTTTTCTTGAGAGCTTGAACTGTTTCTAGAAGTAGAGCCCAGATGAAAATACAAAAACATGCAAAAAATTAAACAAAAGGATAAATTTGACTACATTGTTTGATCATTGGGATTTGAATCTCTGTATGAACTGAGAATTTTTCTTTAGATATTTCTTGTGAATTGGTGCAATATAAAACAGAATTCAATTTACACTGCTGTGGTGTCAAACCACATGCCAGTTCAAGAGTTGACATCTGTAAAAGAGGTTCTATCAAAACGGTGGCACTATTTTAAAATAGTACTATTTACCTTCTTTCCATTTTACAACCAGAACATACTAACAAATGAACTCAACCTTAAAATTAATCTCTTGGTTCCAAAAAATTGTTTTTTAGTACAACTGCTACTATTGGTTCTTGATTCTAAAGAAGAGAAAGGTTGGAAATTTGACATTTTTCTGAAAGCTGAAGTCAACCACATTAAAATTGTTCTTTGTATTTTTCTGTTTCAAAATTATTTCAATAATTACATTCCCCACCCCTCACCACTAAAATAAACTTGAAAATATAAAGCAGAGGTTTTACAATTTTATTAAAAAAATACACAATGTCTCCATCCATAAATCATTTGTTACAAGACTCAATGTGTAGAGTTGTAATTGTTTGAAGCAGATCATAAACACTTTTAAGATATTATTTAAGAAGTCACATATTTTGGTTCACCAGACATGTTTCTCACATTTACACCACCAGGGATGCTCTTTACTTCCTCTAGTGTCACCCCATCAAGGGCCATACTGCTATAGCCAGAGTGATGACCCCAGTAAAACTTCACATTTTACAAGAATAGAAATTAGATGCTTTTTTCTTATAAAAAGGGTTTAAGAAGGTTAAGCTTTTGTTGAAAGATCACTTACATCCTAGAGGTTCAGGTAACAAGTTTAGTTTAGCCAGCTGCACATCAAGTCGGTAAACTCTTATGAGTCTTAAAATTTTGTTTTTATACAGGACTTTTTGGACACAAACTAGTTTGAATAATTTTACTCCTCAGAACTTGACACCTTCACTTCTTTTATTGTTAACCTGTCACCCTTCACTGAGTCACTTTACTTTCTGTTCACATCGCTCTATTGTTCCAGTATGAAAATTACCTTAAGTTTGACAGAGAAACATTTCCCCCTTTTTAACTAATAGCTACCCAAGTCTTAATGTCATTCACATTTTATTCTACAGATATCAAGTCTTACCAACACAGCTCAGCCAGTTTCATTATCATCAAATATAATTTTGACTTTTCAAATTACAATAAACTTAAAAACATTAAACTGATCCATTTACCTTCAGCTACTGGCCTGTGTTTTCTTCAAGTTCAGCTTTTGTTTAATGAAGGTGCTTTTCCGTGATGTCTTGAAAAGAAAGGTGTTGAGTCGCTAAAATTTGGGCAGAGAATGGAGTTAAACAGGCTGGACCAGGGCTTAGTGACGAGGCTGTACAATCGTTGCATGTCAAGAGGAGGGGTTGGCGAACAAGAGCTGGATCCTGTACTCTGTTCAAAATGCTCTGCATATTTTTATCATTAGTCTGCGTTAAGATACTTCAACCCAGTGGTGATACAATGCACAGTGTCACAACAAAAGCCACAAGATCAAGACGGAACCAAAAAATTTCATCAAGAATTAACTTTATTATCATTTGCACACATAATGTTACAATTACATTGTTAGGAGCAAATATCAGTTGATAAAAAACATTTTGTTCTTACACTGTTGAAAGTATCTACTGTCCCTTGAAGTAATGAAATAATCCAAGTATAAGACATTTGTTTCTTAAATTAAAAAATAAAATAAAATCACCTTTCAGGGCAAATTTCAGGTAAATATTAAGCCATTTTATTACGTCCAACACCCATTGAAGTAATCATCTATATTTGGTCAAAAAGCAGGGGAGACGTTTAAGGAGATTGGTCCCTGGAGTATGAGCAGAGGGTAGAGGATGCTCCTCCGGCACTTGGAACTTCTCCTGGGCATCTGGAAAGAGAGGGGGTCCTCTCTGGACCCCTGTACCTCTTCGACTGCAGCTGGACACTCCAGATCCTTCCATTACTGGCCGTTTTTCACACTGAGCATTTTCTCCTGTATAAACAATATTATAACCCCTTAGGAGTCATTTGTGCATGACTTTATGTAAAAAATGAAGTTATTCTTACTTTGATCATAGCCTCAAGCTTAATGGCATCAGCGGCAAACTTGCGGATGCCGTCAGACAGTTTCTCCACCGCCATGCGGTCCTCATTGTGCTGCCAACGGAAAGCTTTCTCATCCAGGTGGATTTTTTCCAGATCACATGCCTTAGCTGCAAAAAAAAAAAAAAAAAAAAAAAAAGAAATCAATGCAGAAACACCAAAAATTGACAGGTTCACAAGTTTGTACCTCATAGATGTCCTCTAATTGATTTTAATAAAGACTCATTTGTCCTAAAGATCAAATTATGTGTGGGGATCCATTTTAGTCAAAACTGTATCTGTGTATCCAATACTTAAAGATAAATTGATTTACTTTGCAATAATACATTTATTTATCAATTCTCAAGCTGTTTGTTGGATGGAGTATCAAAACTTTCTGTAGCTATACAGTACATACAACTAAGTTATTTCAGGATTTTGTAGTCTTAACGTGCTTTAGGTCAGGATTAACTTTGTTCACCTTTGAGTAAAAAACAAGAAATTGATTTTAATTGGAATATATACTGAACAAAATTAGATTGCGACATAAACCAAAATTCTTTAGAAAAGTCTTACATTTCTCCACAGTGAGCATTGCAGTGACGGCACTATGATCCTGGCTGAGTTCTGCCAGCAGTCCAGGGGAGATGGTGAGCAGGTCACAACCAGCTAGTGCCTTCACTTCCCCCGTGTTTCTGAACGAGGCCCCCATCACCACAGTGCTGTAGCCAAACTTCTTGTAGTAGTTGTAAATCTTGGTCACACTGATTACACCTAAAATGAACAAGACAAAACAAAAACATGCTTAAGGTTAAATGTATGCAATTACAAATGGCGACTAATCAAGAGCTACTTTGTTATTGACATTTATACATTTATAAAACTGCCATAAAAATTATGAGTCATCTACTGATTTTAGCTACAGTGCATAAGGCTGAAACTATAAGTGTAAATATGATTCAGAACAGCTATCATTACCCGGGTCTTCATGTGGCTCGAAGCTTTTGCGGTCTGTGTTCTCCTTATGCCAGTCGAGAATGCGTCCAACAAAGGGTGAGATGAGAGTCACCTTTGCCTCTGCACAGGCAACAGCCTGAGCAAAGGAGAACAGCAACGTCATGTTGCAGTGGACGCCATGCTTCTCCTCAAGCTCCCTAAAAAAATAAATAATAAAAATAAAAAAACAACTCAGGAATATTTCAAGAGTTTTTCTACCAACACTTATTAAAAGACAAGAACTTGAGAGTATGAACAATCAAGAGAAACTAGGTCCTAACTATGACTGATTCAGTTTCTGGAATCAAACGGCAGTTGTGCATTCTCTACCCATTGCAGATTCACTGATACACAACCAGTAAAAATCATAGTTTTATCTGTAAATATTCTAACAGTACATTAATGTCACACCACTGAGGTACCGTTTCCCAGACATTATCCAGGTTTACTGGTATGCAAGCTGGTGCCATAAATTTTAAGGTTGTTTGAAGTGGTTGCAGTGTGACTGTGTCGTGAGAATGATCTCCATCTAAACAAAGTAATTAGGAAGAAATTTTTCTTTAGTCCAGGCCCTAAAGGTCAAGTACCTGTGACCATCTTTGATACTAGAAACAAAGAGGGACAAATTTAAAGGAATAAAAACTAGAATTCTCTGCATTTTTCCTCAACATCTAAAAGCTCAGAAGTGATGCACTCTTCCCCTTTCTGAAGCAAAGACATGTTGGATTTGTCAGACACAAATTTGCATGAAAATTTTGAATAATGCGTCTCTTCCATATACAGTACCATACAAAATCTCACTTTAAATCAACATTTTGGAGGGAGACTTTAAGTCTCCCTCCAAAATCTGCAGGTCAATATTCTTTTTTCAAATTGCAAATCTTCTTGCACAGTAAATCTTCTGTCGTCATTGTAGCAGTTTAAGAGGTAATAATTTAGTTAGAGTAATTAGTATGTTTAAGCGAGGCAAAGATTACTGTGGTCGAGTGAACTTTACAAGGAACCCTTTAATCATCACAATCACTGATTAAGGAACAAGGACCAATAAATATGTAGGAAGTGTTTGCTGGACTGCCCAGTTCAAATGAATCTTGCAAATTGATAAGATAAGGTGCGACAAGGTTCATAAACCTCAAGCCACACACAAAGAACTGATTTAAAGTGAAAAACAGATTTTGGACTGTAGGCTTTAGTCAAGGAGCCAAGTTCCCTGTTTGAATGCAATAATCCTTTAAAAAAAATGACTGGCTTAAATCTAATTTTAAGTTCGATTTAAAAATTATATATATATATATATATATATATATATATATATATATATATATATATATATACACATATATATATATATATATATATATATATATATATATATATATATATATATATATATATATATATATATATATATATATATATAAGAATAATTAAGAGCAGATGGACATACTTAAAACCCTGCATACTCACTTCCCAGCCTGGATTCCCTCCCATGTGGAGGACAGCTTGATGAGAACGCGCTCCTTGCTGATGCCTGCCTCTTCATAAAGAGCAATGAGCTTCAAAGCTTTTGCCACCATCTCTCCTTTATCAAAAGACAATCTGTATAGAGGTAGAAAAAGGCATAAAACGATGATTTGTATGTACATTATATGTTTTACAAACATGTAATACATCCTATGCATGTAATTTCAACCTCTGCCATGTGTCACAAGTTTGACTTTCCCCATTCTTATTTATCAAAACCACATTTTGTCATAACAGCTTGCAATTCACACATCTTTGCAAGCGATGACTTTTCAAAACAGGACTGAAAACACATGATGTTCAGTCATAAAAATGGACTAAAGCTTGCATTAGTCTGGAAACATTACAAAAAAACAAAACAAAAAACATGAAATTATAAAAATTATCATTTTATTTTAACCATTTTTTTCAAGATTGTAAAATAAATTGAACAGAACCACAAAGTAGATGAAATACTGGCACCATTAAATGTCAAATCTTTTTAATTGAATTTAATTTGTATTCTTTTATTTTTAAATTGAAACTGACTTTTTAAATTTATTTTATAATCATATAAACCTGCTACAATATACTTGGAACAAAATTGTTTCATGCAGTAAAATCAAAGATGCTCAGCAGTTATGCCACACAATCAGAACAGAAAAACGTAAAATATGAAATGACTAAAACTGCAAAGGTATGAAATGGTATCATGGTAACAGCAGCATTTAGAAAACAAATATTTGTGTCTTCATGCACAACAAAATATTCCTCATTTTCCTTTAATTGAGAAGCCCTGCTTCTACCACTCTGCACTGCAAAGGTTGGTGTCTACACCCACCTGGCATCCACCTCTGTAGAGACTCTGCCTGGAACCTTTTTCAGGATCTCCAGTCCAAAACTCACAAACAGCTTGTCCATGGTGTTGGCTACCTGCTCCTCTTCAGTTCTGAAAAACAGAGTAACTTTAATTTATGTGAGAGTTACAGTGGATAGTCTAATTGTCTAAGCGTTAATTAGTTAACGCTTAGACAACTCTACATGAAAAACTAAAGAGATGCTTAATCATTACATTTAGATTTTCTTACGTCAGAGAACAAATTCTTACCCTCCATTGGCAATACCATATTTAATGGCTTGATCCACAAGGTGCTGGTAGGCTGGCATCTTAGCAGCAGCCAGGATCAGAGATGGGTTAGTCGTTGCATCCTGAGGTTTATACTCATCAATGGCTGCAAAGACAGAAATCACAGATCAGTTTCATGAAACCTGAATTAATTTTAACAGAGGCAAAAGACAGAAAAACATAGGAGACGAACTGTTAAATATTTTTTGTATCTTTAAAATTGTATGTTTAAAAACACCACAGATTAAACTTCTGCTTTATTAAAAATGCATGCAAGATGAGAGAATGTTCAAGCCTGATAACTGAAACATAAAAGCTGAAGTCAGTAAGAAGTGCTGCCATCTAGTGTATGCGTTTCTCTCCGCTCTCTTCTCAGTAGTTTGTTTACAAAAACAGGAAAGAAAGGAGCCAAATTGGCAAACGCACATTACTTAGCCAATAATGATAACTTTAATGAGATAATGCAACATAACATGTCAGCACCACTAGAAAATGGTATAGTTTATCCTAAAATGTGCAGGAAACTAGGTTTTCCACTGACATCCAAATTATGTTTCAAGCTATTCAGCTTCAGAACAAAGCCAGCCT